TGTTTTATAAAGTGGTCACCATCTACGGGCTCCCGCTTAAGAAGGCACAAAAACCAAACACGAATTTTCGGCATTCAGTACCCGCATTGTACAGCCTCATTGAATCGAAGCCGACATCTTTCTTCTCCGACAATGTCCGCCATGTACAAGTTGTTGGTGTCCCCATTGCGGAGATTCTCGCGGCACTCGCAGCTTGCAACGCTACCACAAGTCTCGCCCTCTTCGATGTTCCCTGCGTCAAGGGCGACGCTGCCCTCCTCGAGCTTCTCGGGGCATTTCCCTTGAAGCGCCTTTCCGCCCCCGAAAACTATTGGCTGTGTCCTGGTGGGTGGGACTTCGGTCACCCGCTCTTCGCGCATATAACGCACCTCGACCTTCCCGGCGACCTTAACCGTCAAGGGGCGAAATGGTCGTCGTTCGCGTTAATACCCCGGCTCACGCACCTTTCTTTCTCGGAGGACATGAGTCCCAAATATACCCGCTCCATCTCCTTCACTATCCTGGAGCACTGCAAATCTCTCCAAGTGCTTGCGATAGTATTCTCGTCTCCGGCTATGCTGAAATTATTTGTCCTGAACGCAGAGCTTCAGCCGTCGTCATTCGATCCACGAGTTGCTCTTCTCGCAGTGATGGATCGCCAAGCAGATTGGGAGATGGGTGCGAGGGGCGGTGACGACTATTGGATCGCCGCCGAACGGCTTGTAGACAAACAGCGTGCAGGGGACTTCAATGGCACGTTCCCTCGCTCGGCACTCTCAACACTAACTGACCATTTTGCCCTATCAGACTTTTCACTGGGGGATTTCAGCGAGGATGATTGGAAAGAGTTAACTTCAGAAGAATCGTTTTGTCAGATTGCCTGATACCAGGCTACGCGGGGATAGCAGTAACAATGTCTAAGACTTGGCCTGAAACTTGGAATTTTGTCAGGACCAGATTTCCATCTGAACATCTTGTCATGGATGGTAAGAGACTCGTATGACAAGTGGACCTGCCCGCTAGAAGAGGATATACTGATAGATGGCGTTTACTTTGGTTTGGGCGGCACTGCGTGCGCATGGTAGTAGGAGTCCTTGGGCTCAACATCGACCCCCAAGAGGACAAGAGTTAAAAAAATTGCAAGACACCTAGCAAATTCAGACGCGGGGAGTTAAATCACGGATTGCTGGTCGGCAAATTTACTCGGTGTCTAACATTTATCCTACCACTTTCATGTGAGCCTGTTGCAAATATTTCTTTACCTTGCATTATATATAAAATCGGAGGGTCTGGCCGTAAAGGGGATGGCACCGGGCGAATCTTAGGTGGAATGGGTTCAGATTTGGAGGGTGGGTCGGGGTGGTTAGTGTGTACCTGCTTGCCCGAGATCGGGCCGGTGCAGGCCTTAGTTCCCTCCAAATGAGCGTGTGTGCCGTCTTTTTCCGTTCTGAGGCCCAGAACGTGTGGCTATGGAGTCCACACCATTTTCGTCACTTTGTTACTTCGCTTAAGTTCGCGGATCTTCGTGACTTTGATGGGAACCTGTGAATGTTCGTCACATTGGCATGTTTTTGGGAAAGTTCGTGAGTTGTTTGTTACACGGCAACTCCTCAGCGCATCACAAAGTGATGGGTATGAGCAGTGTGCCGAGTGTGGCCGGTTAGGTTCAGGTTAGGTGGTTAGGGTGGTTAGAGGGATAAATATATTTGGAAACCCCCCATGTTCGGATACCCGGGGTTGCCGCTATGTGAAAACCCCATGATTTGTAAGACAAGATCTGATGGCGGCTGATGGCGGAGGTGGCGGGATGGGGCGGACTCTTGTCAGAGTGTTTCTGGTGGCTCAAAAGACCTCTGATATGTTCGAAAAAATTATGTGAATCAAATGCTGCCTTGAACAGTCGGCTGCAATTTTTTCCCCTCATTTTAGGCCCCCAAATTCACCTGTGATTGTGAATTCAAAACACTTTTTGTGTGAGAATGGCCGAAAACCCGCCCGGCCTTGTGCCGAAGGAACAACGATGGCCGATGCTTCCAGGTTCTTGAACATGCCGAGTCAAAATGACGAACTTCCACAGAAAATCATCAGAAGTAACGAACTTTCCCTAAATGCGATCAAAGTGACGAGGTTTCGTGAAAATAAGCGAAATAAGCGAAGTAACGAAGTCACGAAGATGGCTACTACCCGTGGCTATGTCCTGGCTCAGCTGCCCGTGGCTCCGCGAATTTTTTTTAAATTTGGAAAATGAAAAGCGAAAGGGAAACAAAAGTAGCTGTCTGATGTGACGTTCTTTTTATCATCTACGTCGTTGCTAGGTGCGCTGAGAAATAGCGTTGGAAGGCGGCGGGGATTGGCGTTGATTGAGTGGCACTGGATGCCGCGGACCCACTAAACCATTCAGAATGTTGCTAGTGGGTTCATCGTGTTGTAGCTTTCCTTCCTCCATTGAATTCAGCTTCCGCCCGATACAAGGCCAGCCATTTAGTTAGGAAGACGTTTATCTCTCCTCCATTTATTCCGCACTATGGTCACTCGAGGTGTTGCGCAGTAGATTGAAAATTGATCTCGCACAGATCATTGTGACTGGACACCTTGCGTGAATGAATCAATGTTTTGGACATGCTTTTACTGTACAAGCCAAGGACTAGATATCTGCTGAAACTATTTGTTCTTTTGTAAATTTTTGATACCGGTTGGTTACTCCATCCAAATTTGCCGGAGAGAAGCGAAGGCATGTCTTGTGCGTGTAATGCAACAGTTTCAGGCTATTACCATCTAAATTTCAAGCAAAAAAGGAAGAAAAATGCATTCCAAACCAATGCCAAACAAGGAAAGTTAAGATAAATTGACAATTTTTGTTGCTAATTTATTTTGGAGGTCCAAAAAAGCTAACGTCCTTACAACTCTTTGCAGAACTCAGGGCGCGGGTCTTTTTTTTTTTTTGCTATTTTGGGCAGAACAGCAGCTGCGGGCTCAATTCCTGTCCGTTTTCCTTGTGAGTATGCTCAATCGATTCAAAATTCCAATGCGCAGTTTTCTGTATCCTCAGATTCTTTATTTGGTTCTCGGATCAAATTTGTGGCCCGAGTAAACACATTTTGGGACATTTCCCAGCAGGACAGCTCTAGCATTAGTGTTTGACCACCGATTGCCCTAGATTTTTTATATGGTGAACTTCTATGTATAATGTAGTTCCTCAAATACCGGGATAGTGAATATAATGTCGGGTTTCCTTATGGGAACAGCAGGTTGATTGAGACTAAATCTACCCAATATTTCCTGATCACTAGATTGAAACTAGGGGTTACAATCACTATCCTGGTATTTCAGGAACTACATTATACATAGAAGTCCACCATATAAGAAATCTTGAGCATACTCACAAGGAAAATGGACAAGAATTGAGCCCGCAGCTGCTGTTCTGCCCAAAATAGCTACAAAAAAAAAAAAAACGACCCGCGCCCTAAGTTCTGCAAAGAGCTGTAATTGAACTGATTTGGGAGAATTGGACCTTGGCATTTGGGGGCAATCTGGCCTTATTCGCAAAGTAGGTCTTCCCTGATGGTGTCGGCACTTCACGGATGGCGCCGCCACATGGCCGCAAACAAACACGTCGCGTCGGGACGGAGCGAGGCGCGGCAGTGGGTCGGTCGTGGGCGGGACGTGTGCAGGCACGCTGTAGGGGCGGGAGCCGGCCGAAATTGGAGACGGGGCATATCCCTGCATGGGTGGGCAGCGCCAGTCGCCATCGACGACGGTGGTGGTGAGAAGAGAAAGGATCAGGATGACATAATATTCAACAAGTTCAACTGAGCTCACGAACTGTCAACAAACATATCTGTAATCCAACGAACTTTCTCAAAATTCCATACACCTCACAAACTTTCACAAGATCCCATCAGTCCGATGAAATTTCGCGAATTAGCAATGACCTGATGAAAAAGGGTTCATTGCCCCGCTCACCACCCCATCGTGCTCCCAGCTAAGGAAGATCGACGAGCCTTGTTCCTCGGCCTGTGTCTGCATGCTCTGCAGATAGACCTGGAGCCCATAGCTCGCTAGCCCTGGGACGCGTGCTTGGATCTGCAAGCTGTAGTTTATGCCGGCCAGCGTGTATGTAGCCTCGCCGCCATCGTCAGTCTCGTCTTTGCTAATGCTGGTGTCGAACTCAACGTACACCTGACTCGAGGTGTACGGCGCGATCTGTTAGAAGTAAACAAGCGGAGCGTGGCGGGAGGAGAGCCAAGCGGAGTGTAGCGGTAGGAGAGCCGAGTGGAGCGTAATCAGTAAATGAATAACAAGAAATACACACACAGCAGCTATTGGGACGCGGGGAGTCGAACCCCGGCTTGCTGCTCTTCAACACTCTGCAGCGGTGCGCTGTACACCACGTCCCATTTCTTCCCGTAGTTCATCCCTTGCATTCGTATGAGAGGAATTTGGGAACTTAGCAGCGAGTAAATGAATGTTTACCAGGCAAAAGAAAAGTATTTGAGCAATCTACTTCTACTAGGAGGGACGCAGGGAGTCGAACCCCGGCTTGCTGCCTTTCAATACTGAACGCACGAGATCAATTTAATACAGCCGTGCTCCACACACCACGTCCCATTTATTCCTCTCGTTCGTTGCCTGCATTTACATCACTGGAATGTAGGAACTTGCGAACTTGCGAACGAGTAAAATAAATCCTTGCTAGACAAAAGAAACTTGCCAATTGTTTAGGTGAGACGCGGGGAATCAAACTCCGGCTTGCTGCTCCTGTTCAATTCTTGCCATCGTCGAATGTAAGGCAGTCGTGCACCATACACCACGTCCCGTTACTTTCCCTCGTTCGCTCCTCGATAATGTACCATAATTTCCAAGAGTTCAATCAGTATAGACGGGATTGAGAGGAATTCAACCCTTTTGTCAGAGGTTACAATTAAATAGCTGCACGTTTGGTACTCCAATCTAGCCCATTCAGAATCTTGCGTGTATCGAAGGCTTTCCCACCAACAAAAACAAGGCTCGACGGTTGCTATATGGGACGCGGGGAGTCGAACCCCGGTCTGCTACAAATTCATCGGATGTAAAGGCCGCCTACTGAATGCAGCGGTGCACCGCACACCACGTCCCATTCCCGCTTCCCTTGCGGTACTTGAATTTATAGGAGGGTCCGGATTCCGGGAGCGTCCGTTCCAGCGAGAAAAACAAAGATTCAGATGCGGTTGGAAAATGTGGGACGCGGGGAGTCGAACCCCGGCTTGATGCTCAATACTCAATACCAATTCATTGATCACAGCGGTGCGCCGTACACCACGTCCCATTTCTTCCCCTCCCTCATTCCTTGGATTTATATCACTGGAATTTAGGAACTTGCCGGCAAGGAATATAAGATGATAAACAAAAAAACTATGAAAAGCTCGAAAAACGCATTGGGACGCGGGGAGTCGAACCCCGCCCTGCTGCTTAACATCATTTTATTAAGACATTGAAAGCCAAGTATACAGGGGTGCGCCGTGCACCATGTCCCATTTCTTCCCCTCGCTCGTCCCTTGCATTAATATGAGTGGAATTTGGGAATTTGCCGGCAAGAAAATGATAAACAAAAATATGAGAAGCTCGAAAAACGCATTGGCACGCTGGGAGTCGAACCCCGGCTTGCTGATGTTCAATGCTCAATATCAATTCATGGATTACAGCGGTACACCGTGCACCACCTCCCGTCCTCATCTATCTTTCCTCCTCGAATATACAGCATTAATTCAGATGTTGAATTTGCGTCGAATCCCTGGCAAACACAAGAGAGTGGGATGCACCCCGGCTTGCTACATGTAATGGAAAACTTGGTCTGTAATATAAGAACAATACTCAATACTCTCACATACACAAATCTGATGAATTGACATAATTTCTGAGTCCGTACAAGTACATACATATTTCACAACAGATTCAGATTCCCATATGAATAAATGGTACCCATCGGTCATAAGGAACCTTTTTGTCCTTTAACTCTTGCACTTCCAACTGCAGCGCCTTCGCTGCATCAGTGACCTTAGGCTGCAGACCATTACGACGAAAGAGGTAAGAATAGACCTTCTCTGCAACCAAGGGACCATCTTTGTCATCCATAGACCACAACGTCCCAATGGCGCCTCGAAAACCTGCAGCAATGAATCCTCCACCAAGGTGAAAGGATTTATCGACAAGTACTGCATCCCCCATCGCTGTCTGGCATGCAGCTAGGAACACAAACTGTGCATTGGAGAGAGGTATGTGAAGAATTGTTTCCAACTCCAAAATTCCTCCATATAGATGGAGATAGCTTTTTGCGGGCTCAATCACATTTTGATGTCCATGACAGGCTAAATGAGCCCAAGTACAATCCTGGAGATGCTGTCGGACAGCATCTACTGTTGCTCCCTCCCCCTGAAGACAGTGCACATCAGGCACTTCAATAATGGAAAGAATGCTTTGAACTTCTTGTTCTACACCTTCCAGGAAGCCTGTTCCATCCTTATCAGTCTGTGTCACTCCGACAATAGTGAATTTGTCTGAATGATTGCTCGAATCTTTAGCATAGACATCCAAAAGTGATCCTAAGGTTTCTGTATAGGAGTGGATGAATTGATTTGTAGGAGAGCTTGCATGGAGAGGCAGTCCAGTGAATGCCCCAGTTGGTAGCCATCATAACCTGCCTTCACGGATGCCACGCTGCTCAATTAAATAGATGTTAGCTAAGACCAAAATTGAGATGATGTGTATGTTCACTGACCGATTCCAAAACCTTTTGAACAGGTCCCACGACATATGTCCACAGCCAGGTCAACAGATCGGCAAACCACTCTTCAGAGCTCTTGGATGAATGCCCCTCCCGCTGACCGAAGAGCCGGATGATGATTCCCGATTGACATTTCGGCCACCAAGGAAGTCTTTGAGAATGGTCCGATGTGATTCCAGCATAGCAATTGTCAGCTTTGGAAAGGGAACATGAACTGGCTCTGAAGTTGGATTCAAAATTATGATTGCATCACAACCATCTTTGTGACTGTTCAAAATCACAATTGCATCTCCTTGTGATGCCTGGCAAAGAACCTCATAAGGTTTAGGAAGCAAGAAATATTTATCTTGTCGCTGACGAATATTTGTCAGTACTGTTTCTCTTTCAATGGCAACATCTCTGGGATTAGGAGAGGTTCCACTATAGAGCTCCAAGGACAGTTCCTGTAATTTCTTTGCTTCATCAAGAGGGAGTCCATCAAATTCTGTTCTCAGCTGGAGCATTTGCTGAAACGTAATTCCCAGTCCCTGTTCCATAATTTCCACTGCAGAGGTGAGGTTGAAGACAGGTTTTTTGCAGCAGCTGAAGTGGCTTGTCCAACATCAAGTCTATGGATGGCTTCATGCTGCACACCCAAGGTATGACCAATCCAGAGAATCTCTGGGAGTAGCTGAAAGGCATTGGAATAGGCAGTTATGCACTCAGAGGACTTGAACTCTTCTGCAACAGAGGCCCAGGTGAGGGCTGCATTCCAAGAGTGCTCCGGAGTCGAAGTCATACTTTTGAAGGAGAATGCGTAGTGAGTGTGGATGGCATCTAGATCCTCTGGCCTGCCTGATCTCCTATACTTGTCGGTGAAAGAAATGGCAAGGTTTTTTAAACGTGTTGAGCTATCAGGGTGCTTGTTTGGGGTAAGGTCCACTGCTTGTTGATTTATCTGCAGTGCAGCATCAAGATCATCCATGTCTTTTAGCCTCTTATATCGTGAAAGACACAGCAAGATGTTGTAGACGTCCTGCCCTGTCTGGGTGCCTTTCTGGGGTGAGATCCACCACTTTCTTTCTGGTCTGTAATGCAGCCTCCAGATAATTCAAGTCCTCCCAAAGCCCGGTATGCATCTGTAAAAGAAACAGCTAGGTTTTGAAGGTACATTGGCCTTTTAGGGTGGTCTTCAGGGGTGATATCTACTGCCAGCAGGACATTGAGCAATGCAGCCTCAAGGTCCTTCATATGGCCCAGCCTCTGGTATCGCTCTGTGAAAGACAACCAAACTCTGTAGATAGCCTGCCCTGTCAGATTTTTTCTGGGTAAGGTCTACTGTTTCTTGTTTAATCTGCAATGCAGCCTCAAGGTCATCAAGATTTCCAAACCTCCGATACCGATCTGTGAGAGAAATAGCAACACTGCGAAGCCGCTGTGCTCTATTTGGGTCACCCTTCGGAGTCAGGTCCACTGCTTCTTGATTTGTCTGCACTGAAGCCTCAAGGTCCTTTAGGTCCCCCAACCTCAGATATTTAGTTGTGAGGGATACACCCAGGCTTTGTAGATGGTCTGCCCTGTCTGGATGTCCTTGAGGTGTGAGTTCCACTGATTCATTAAATTTTTGCAATGCCATCTCAAGATCCTTCAGGTCTCCTCCCATTGAGCTCTAATATCGATCTCGGAGAAGATTTTGCAGACATGCTGGCCTATCTGGGTGATCCTCTAGGGTAAGGTCCACCACTTCTTGAAATTTACACAAGGCAGCCTCAAGATCAATCAGAACTCCCTGCCTCTGATATCAGATTCCGAAGCATATTCCAAGGCTTTGAAGATGCCTTGCCCTGTCAGGGTGGTTGTCTGGGGTGAGGTCCAAAGCTGCTTGATCATTCTGCAAAGCAGCTTGCAGGTCGTCCAAGTCCTGTGAAAGTGAATATTTCTTTCTGAGCCATTGACCCATATAGTGATGATATCTGGGGATATTTTGATCTCCTATAGATGCCTCTTCAACGAGCTCTTGCAGTCTGGACATCATTTCTTCGATGGCCCAGCCATAAGAGCATAATTCCAGTTCCCATTGAATTGATCACTAGTATTCACTCACAATGTCTTCAGAGTGAGCAGAGTCATTTCCATCCATTGAGGGGGATTCTGAAGGTATTTCTTCAGAATTATTGGAAACAATAACAGCATCCTGTCTCCAGTCAATATAGTTTATCTTTTGAAAGTTGAATTGAAACAGCAAAAGCTCTTACAGCGTCAACTTCAGACATGGACTCGGATATTTCTGATCACTGAGAGGTATGAATGTCTTCAGCCTGGAGGCAGATTCAAGTAACTATATTCCTGGTACCGACCTAGGGACCAGATCTCAAACCCGTAACCTTGATCGGCAATTTTTCCCATCTCGATCATGATGGATAATTGTTTAATGCCCGGACCACGTGCATCCTACCTCCCTCCTGTAACCCAGACGGCAAAAATCTGCGTCTCAATCATGACAGGCTCTTTGTTGTTCACCGGCTCACGTCATAGCGCACCCAAAACACTGTCCAAAAAATCTGTGTTGATCATGACGGCTTCCATAATAAAGCCGGCCCCTATCTCGTTTCAGAGATTTCGAATATGTGAGTTAACCCATGCTAAGTTGCCGTTGTGCCCACACCAAACACTTGGCCCTCCCTAACCTTCTTGCATCTTCTTCCCCCACCAGCACCACACATCCTGCTATGAGACCCACTGTGGAGACTGTCGAAGAAGAAGATGACGCCCTGCCGATGGCGCCCCTTGTCAACACCCCATATATTGTTGAACAGCTATTCCCCTTGTCTGCTGCTGCCCTATCACAGAATGCTGCATCTCCCGTTATGGCCCCAGTGTCTGTGCAAACACCCACCTTCGAATCCGACATCGCAGCCGGCAAACACTGTGCCAATGACCACTCTCCTGATGCCACCCCTCGCACTACACTGAGCCCATCCCCCGAACCATTCCGGCCGCCCCCCCCACCCTACCAAAACCTCTGTTAGTACAACTTCTACGCTCTTACACCTTACTTAATGCCTTACAGCCGTAAATGACGCGGGTGCCGGCAGCAGCCAAATTACCTTACCTGTTACCGCCGATCGTCAAGCACGCGACGCTCCAGGTACGTACATGGAGTCCACCTGTCTCAATCATTCTAACACACGTTGCGCAGCACTGGTACAAGCCACAACACCTGTCGACCCTCTACAAGGCCTGCCCAATATCAGCAAAAGTGCACACGGTACATTGGATAATTGCGTACATCATCCAGCGTACAACAGTCCAACATTCACTTCGTCCAATGTTACTTTGTCCATCATTCATCGTGATACCATATCCTCCTTGCCACA